GATGTCTCTCACACCGATCTTCTTTCTCGCTCTTTCTTTTACGATCATCAGCTGTTCCTGAATCAAAACTCCTCTTTGCAACACAGCCCTTACGGCTGGTACCTACTTCATTCTGGATGCCGCCAGATGCCTTCCTGATGGTTCGTTTGGCCTAAGCATCTATCTACGTTTAGCTTTGGGCTATCTGCTTGAATTATGGCCCTGATGGAATATAAAAAGGCATCAGAAATCGCGGAACTCTATCACTGGACTCGGATGAATGGAAACCGCCAAATCGCTAAACCTACTGATCCCATTGACATGTTTAACCCGGCAGGCGGTGGGCCTACCAGCCACCTTCCGCGCGGTGGGGGGGGGGGGCACTTTTTTGCCCCCCCCGTATCTCCGAAACTACTGGACGGATCCGGAAAATTCAAACGGCGTTCGATAGCCCTGTCAAATTTGTCGGGGGAAACCAAATTTCATTGACCTCGGGGTCACCGATGACGTCACAGGTCAGGTCAAAGATAAAATGTTTCACCGTTCACGGGGCTTCTAGGGAAAGCGCTATAACACCGAGTAAAACGCATTTTGTCGAAAATCAGCGATAAGGCGTCAGTTGTCTAGTACATATGTTGCTATTAGAGGTCACTGGTCATACCAGGTCAGGTCACAGGTCAGGTCACCAAAGGTCACCAAGGGTCACCACATGAGCCCAACTTTACTAAGGTTATGCGATGCATGTTTTATGGCCAGTTTTTCATTTCCAACTCAATGGTGTTGGTTATAAGACCATCAGGTACGGTTTAGGTCACTTTCTGGTGGAGGTCAGGTCAAGGTCAGGTCAAAAAAGGTCAAATTTCAAAGTTGATATTTTTGCACAAAATGGGTATCGATTCGATGCAGCTCGTCACGGGGAGTCTAATGGTGGTCTTTGTTTTGCGCTACGAGGTCTAGAATTGCTAAAAATTGAGTTTGAAAATTTGACGTCATCAATTTTGAACAGTTTTTTCGCTATAACTTGGCCAAAAAAAGAGGTATCTATCTCAAATTTGGTATGTAGGTAGAAGGCGATAGGGGCTATCACATATATTCCGGTTTTTTCGAAATTCAAAAAACTTTTTGGATTTTTGGCTATTATATTCAAAAAATCTATTTTTTGATTTTTGGGGGTCAAAATAAAAAAAAATCGAAAAACCGAAATAGCAGTTTTGTAGCCCTTTCAATTCTACACCTTTATGTCTAAACATTTTTCTATATCTCTAAAGCTGTAGGCCTGACAGCTCTTCCCGCGAAACCTTTTTTTGGGTCGAAAATGGCAAAAATGACGTCACTCTGACGTCATTAGCGGCCAACCTATCATAGCCTTTGGAAAATTTTTGGTCACCATGTGCGCTAGCTGCTCCCGGGAGGGTACCGAAAGTTTGGTGACGATCGGCGCAGCGGTTCTCGAGATATATCGAAAAAACTAAAGGGGGGGGGGCAAAAAAATGCCCCCCCCACCGCCTGGAAGGTTAACGTTGAATTGTTCAGCTATATTCCTTCAGTGAACTTCGATGGCGATTGTTGGTAGACAATTGCAAACAAATTTGAATAAATTGATTTAAATGATTTGCATCAGCTCAGAAGTCGATTGCATATTTTGATAGAGTTCTTTCAACAGATTTGGGTCCTAACCTTAACACCAGCATTGACATGTGCCTTTTCACTTTATGTTACTAGTAGGAAAATCATTCAAGGGCATAGTTATTAACATGCATCCAACAAATTGATATCGTTTATGTGTAGGTATCTGTAGCGATATGTGTGAACAACTAATCAGTGCCGTTGTATTGTTTCTGCCGAGGGAGAGGCTTTAGTCGCCAATGCCTCTGGCAAGATTCAGCAATTCTGGAAGAGTTTAAATTGCTCTGAAGAGCAGCTTCACCTGTTTCGTAGGTTTTTGCAGCCACCGGTATTCCATCCAACCTGATTCTTTGGGACGACGGTGAAAACAGGGCGCCTGGGGCGATTTGATCAAGGTTCGTGAAATTTATACGTGACGTTTGGCATGTAAAAGGCCCACAAAGGGGGAGAAGCTTCAAATGTCACGTGATTAATATGCCCTCCAGCGCCCTGTTTTCACCGGCGTCCATTCTTACGGACTCGTACTCCGTAAGATGAGGTTTCGAAGCAAAAGATCATTCATCGATAAGAAAGAGGAGGTACGGAACTGATGTTGCAAATACCACCGACATCTGGAAACAGTTCCCATAAAACTGCATTTTTACTACGGAAGATGTATCCTGATCAATTTTTGTCTCATGTAAGACCCTATCTAAAATTAAATTTACATAGGAAAAATAGTGAGCCGAAGCCGAACTATGAAATTCGTCCGATTCGAAGTAATCTCGGTCAGCCCTACTGCCTAACCCCCTCGCCATTTCGTTTCTGCTGGAGATAGTGCTTCGCGGTAAAGAGCAACAGATTCTTTTGGAAGAGACGAATCCAATGATACTCGATTGTACCCCATCAGGTCATTGATCTTCCAGGTCAGGTCAAACTAAAAAATGTTGCTGTTTGGGGTCACCGTTGGAACATCACGTGCGCTGCTCAATGCTCATCATATACCGAGAGCGCTGCCGTTTGTGGTGCCAATCCAGCTAGAACAGCTCTTTGTCACCACTATCCGACTAGGTTTTTTGCTGACTGTGGTCATTTCGGGTCAAGTTAGGTCAAGGCCAATTATATGTGTTTGTATGTCGTGGTGTCTGTGTTTATACTGAATACTGATTGTGCACCGATTGGTTTGTGTGTCCCTATTACATGATATCATGATCTGAGAAGTGAGAAGCTCTTACCAAAATGCAGTCAAAAAACTTAACGAAAAGTAAATTCAGCAAGCCCCTTAAATCCATGATTCTAGATGACCTAGGCTGACCTTGACCCTGACCCTGACATCTGCACATCGTCGAATAACATGTCCCATGATATAGGTGAGAGGTAAGACTAGCAAGAACATACCGAAATCAAGGTGTCAAAAAATCACAAGACCCAAAGCCATCGCAAGATATTGGGTATTTGTCATTTGGTCGTAACTTGACCTGAAGAACAGGGTCATATCTCCAAAACCAGAAACCACAGAAACTTGAAACTCTCCGTGAACGCTAAGAGAGGATAGAGAGCAGCTATACGAAAAAATCAGGCTTCTAGCTTTAACCCGCGCCCGCTGGGCTATTCAGCCATACGCGCCCTGCTGGGGGGGGGGGCAGATTCTGCCCCCCCTGTCTAACTTCCGAACCGATGGTCGTAGAAAGACGGGAAAACGGCAATCGAAAGCTCTCACAAGGCG